TGGGAGGCAGAGGCCAGAGAATCACTTGAGCCCAGGAATTGGAAGTTGCTGTGAGCTGTGATGCCATAGCACTCTACCCAGGGGGACAGCTTGAGACTGTCTCAAAAAAAAGATGGAGACGTTACCTCTTTTAAGGTTACATGGATGGAAGTGGAACATATCCTACTAAGTAAAATCTCAAGAATGGAAGAAAAATATCCCATGTACTCAGTACTATTATGAAACCAATTTACTCACTTTCATATGAAGAATAGAACACAACTATGGCCCAAGATGAAGGAGGGAGGTGGGGGTGCAGGGAGGGAAGGGGAGAGGTCATATCGAGGGAGGGTGAATGATGGGATCACACCTATGGTGCATAATGCAAGGGTACATTTCAGATCTATTAGTATAGAGTATAAATGTCTTAACACAATAACTAAGTAAACAAGATGAGGTATATATTAAGCAGTGTGATGTAAGCGTTCCTAATTCTATACGAAATCAGTACATTGTACCCCATAAATGCATGAACGTACACATGATCTATGTGTTTGATTTAATAAAAAGTAATAAATAATAAAAAAAGAAATGAAGATTAAACTAGAAGGAACACAGACCAAATAAACACTACAGATAATGCTATGAGAGATATGAAATCAAAGGAGGGCATTTCTTTACTTCAAAAGTGACAAAAAAGCTTCAAGAGAAATAGAATCACTGTAGACAGTCTAATTACTGGTCTTTGTGGAAAAAAAATCTTCAGGGTATCTAAGCAAAATAAAAGTGACTTATGAGGGAAATAGAATTGGACTGTCACACCGTGTTCTGCCTGAGCTGCGGTGGACATTTCCAGGGCGGCCGACCCAGGTCTTCTGAGTCCCACACCACCTCCTGTGGAAGCTTGAGGGGGCTGTGCAGCTTTCTCCCTTGGTCTCATAACCATGTCCACCAATGAGAATGCTAATTCACCAGCTGCCCGACTTAACAGGTTCAAGAACAAGGGAAAAGGCAGTACAGAAATGAGGCGACGCCAAATAGAAGTTAATGCGGAGTTGAGGAAAGCTAAGAAAGATGACCAGATGCTGAAAAGGAGAAATGTAAGCTCGTTTCCTGATGATGCTACTTCTCCACTGCAGGAAAACCGAAACAACCAGGGAACTGTAAATTGGTCCGTGGATGACACTGTCAAAGGTATAAATAGCACCAATATGGAAAACCAGCTCCAAGCTACTCAAGCTGCCAGGAAACTACTTTCTAGAGAAAAACAGCCTCCCATCGACAATAGAATCCGAGCTGGTTTGATCCCCAAATTTGTGTCCTTCTTGGGTAGAACTGATTGTAGTCCCATTCAGTTTGAATCTGCTTGGGCACTAACATGCTCTGGGACATCAGAACAGACTAAGGCTGTGGTAGATGGTGGTGCTATCCCAGCATTCATTTCTCTGTTGGCATCTCCCCAGCTCGTATCAGTGAGCAAGCTGTGTGGGCTCTAGGAAACATTGCAGGTGATGGTTCAGTTTTCTGAGACTTGGTTATTAAGTATGATGCAGTTGACCCACTTTTGGCTCTTCTAGCTATTCCTGATATGTCATCTTTATCATGTGGTTACTTACGTAATCTTCCCTGGACACTTTCAAACCTTTGTCGCAACAAGAATCCTGCACCCCCATTAGATGCTGTGGAACAGATCCTTCCTACTTCAGTGCGTCTCCTGCATCACAATGATCCAGAGGTATTAGCAGATACCTGCTGGGCTATTTGCTACCTTACTGATGGCCCAAATGAACGGATTGAAATGGTTGTGAAAACAGGAGTTTTGCCCCAACTTGTGAAGCTTTTGGGAACTACCGAATTGCCAATTGTGACTCCTGGACTAAAAGCCATAGGGAATATTGTCACTGGGACAGACTCAGGTTGTAATTGATGCAGGAGCACTTACTGTCTTTCCCAGCCTGCTGACCAACCCCAAAACTAACATTCAAAAGGAAGCTACATGGACAATGTCAAACATCACAGCTGGCCGTCAGGACCAGATACAGCAAGTTGTGAATCGTGGACTAGTCCCATTACTTGTTGGTGTTCTCTCTAAGGCAGACTTTAAGACACAAAAGGAAGCTGTATGGGCTGTGACCAACTATACAAGTGGTGGAACAGTAGAACAGATTGTATACCTCGTTCATTGTGGCATAATAGAACCGCTGATGAACCTCTTAACTGCAAAAAATACCAAAATTATTCTGGTTATTCTGGATGCCATTTCAAATATCTTTCAGGCTGCTGAAAAACTGGGTGAAACTGAGAAACTTAGTTGATGATTGAAGAATGTGGAGGTTTGGACAAAGTTGAAGCTCTATAAAACCATGAAAATGAGTCTGTGTACAAGGCTTCATTAAACTTGATTGAGAAGTATTTCTCTGTAGAGAAGAGGAGGATCAAAATGTAGTCCCAGAAACTACCTCTGAAGGCTGTACCTTCCAAGTTCAGGGTGGGACTCCTGGGCCTTTTAACTTTAAGATTGTATAGCTGAGGTACAAAGTTGTCGTGTACTGCATTTGGTATAAGTTTGTCTTACTATTTCTCTACTACAAACTCTTTTTAAATGTGGTTTGTTATTGTAGCACTTTTTACAACAAAACTATACTTGAACAGTTCCAAACTGTACATACATACTGTATGGAGCCTATCCTCTGAAAGGGTTGCTTATTTCTACATGGAATTTCGTATCTTGCAGTGTCCTATAAGTAAAAATTAAAGTCCACCCTTTAAAAAAAAATTGGATTGTCAGACTTTTCAAAAGCAATACTCTACATAGCAGAAAAGGCAGTAACAAGAAAATCTGGCCCACGGATATTACACATAGCAAAAATTTTATAAAGAGCACCAATAAAACAAACGACATGCAAAACCTCAGAGCCCTTCTTGAGGAATCTACTAGAATGAGGGTCCTCAATTTTTTTATCTGACTCCATATACTCTTCAATATTTAGTATCCCAAAGATCCATCTACATGGATGATTTCTATAGACAAATTACCTTTTAGACATTGAAACAAATCTTAAATTACAATAATCAAAAATAGCAAACCCAGTATATGCTAATACATATTTTCCCAAACAAAAAAAAATTAGCATTATTTTTATTTTTGTAAATCCTTTGAATACTTCCTAATACAAAAGAGCCAAACTTGTACATCTGCTGTACTATTTATTGTGGGGTCAAAAGTCACATAGCTTCTGGAAAATTCCTCTGCACACTCATGTGAGAAGGAAAGAGCAGGGTTAAAAAGGAAAATAACATCTTAGAATTATTATGAAAACGGTTTTGACCTCAAAGAACCCCTAAGATAAAGGACCCTTTAACTAGAGAACAAGCTTCAGACACTGTCAACATAAAAATTGATGAGAAATCTAAACACGAAGATACTGGTATAACGAAGAGGAAATGACAGCTAAAATGAAGAGAGTACAGTTTACAATGGCTACATATGGTGACAATATAGAAATACTTGAAAATGAGGAGAAAAAATGCAAAAAAGACTCAGCAGTTCTGAGTCATTAGTTATAAAGCTGCCAGTAGTATTGCTATTCTGCTACTTCTGTGAGTGTGGTGTAATATAAAAAGGGTAAATATGGGCTATTCTAATTCTACCCAATCCTGTGGTCTTGAGACCCTGGACCTTTGGGGTACAAGCAACACGATACCAGTATAATGAGAAGAGGTTACATAAAATCACTGCTGTATGGAACTTGAGACACCAGTATGCCACATGAGCTCTTTGATCCTAGATAAATACATGTAATAAACATACACACAACATATATTCCCCCAGCTTCTCCCACTGAAGAGGCTCAGAAACAATGACAACTCAGTAGCCATGAGAATCCTTAGCACCCATACTGTGGCCTTGAAGTAACATTTTCTGTTGACATAAAACAGGGCTTCCTGGAAAAATGGTTGGCTCCAGGCTTGGGGCGAGTCCTGCATAAGATAAACTGAAACATCTTGCTGTTCTGTTAAGAAAGGAAGCTACCCAGAAGACTAGAGATTCAGGGGCCTCCTTGAGAGGGTTCCAGGGGCCCAAAAGGGGACAGTTTCAGCTTCAAATACAATAAGTGAAGTTGACTGAAACCCATCAAAGACACTTAGGGCCATAAGTTCATGATGAAGTCAAACATCATTGGCTTGAAAACTAGTAAGTAAGGGGGGGTAGAAAAAAAATCAAGCCTTTATACTGTATAAAAGGCTGTCTCATTTCCTATATGAGACATCCACACAACAGTGGTACAACACAGAAAGAAAAATTTCCAGGTACTGGGTACCTTCAATGTAAAAAACACAACCTCCCTGGAGGCCTCTCAAGGATGAACCCAAATCTAATCAAGCCTGTAGAATTAGTGGCCAGTTTGTAGAAAAAAAAATAGAGGACAAAGGCACTGATTTAAACTGCATGTGGACCCTCTACAGGACAAATGCTCCATATTCTTCAACAGATAAATGGTTTTAAAAAAAAAATGGTAAGAGGAGGAATCTGAAACTCAAAAGGCATTTTTTCAAGCTTTTATTGGTCAATACTAAACTATTCTAAGGATGCACATTTGGGTGATAAAATCATAAACACAAGGAAGTGATTATTAAGAAAGTCAACACAAAGGTTACTACTGGAGAGAGGCAGAAAGTCGAGATTTGAATTTCTGAGGATTTGTGGGGCTCTGAAGGTAGTTGGCAAAGTTCTATTTCATGACCTGGGTGGGGAGAGGGCATTGCAAGAGTGTTCACCTTATCATTAACTTATTAAAGCTATTCATTTGTTTCATGTGATGTTCTATATCTATGATTTAATAAACAATTTGCTATCACTTTCAAGAAGGAATAGTTGATTCATGTAAATAAATCATTGTACCACCACTATATGTGTATGTCCGCACATACTCATCTGTGCATGCAAAGTCCACCCCTGGAAAGTACACAAGAAACTGATGACCCCCACAAGCTGGGGTGACCAGGACAGGGATGGGAGAGAGACTATTCACTCATTGTCTTTGGAGCCTTTTAATTTTCAGGTCATTGTATTACATATGCAAAGGAATAGAATTATAATTTAACTGCTAAATTAAACCAATTTTTGTCAATTGTGAATAACCCTATAAACAAAGAATAAGGTAATAGTTGTAGGGAAACAATTTGTAAACATAAATAAACTGAAATATAGAACTGGTTTTTAATGAGCAAGAAAAAAATACATGGGTCTCTATCAGGAAGTCTAAGCCCAAGCTAGCTGGTAACTCCCCTCGGAGAGGCAATAACCCAGGCCCAATAAAAGACCCTTTGTCACAGCTGACACGGGAGTGAGGGGAATACTGGGCATGCATCTTTACTTCCTCTAGGCTTCTCTGTACACTGCTCAGTTCTCTTCAAACCAAAGAGTGAGCTCCGTTCTCTGCACAAGTCAGCCTACATATACTTCAATGAAACACATCTGTACACTGAGCATTATAAGCCAAACAACCCTTAGAGACCATGCAAGAAACCAGGACCCAGGCCTGCAAGCTCCCTGGGTACCAGCCAAGCCTCAGAAAGGGGTTGGCAAAAACAGAAATGACACCACTAAGAATACGGAGGGGAAAGTTTAAAATATGCCTCCATTTTTTCAAAGAAGATCAATACATGTATAAGAAATGCCCATTTTTAACAACGGTTTGGATGTTTTTTAAACCTGTAGTTGAAAATACCTTCTGGAAGCTCACAGAATGATCTAAATAGCATTCTGATTGAAAGCCAAAAGACTGGTTTCTTCCTCTGTTCTACCTCAAGTGGATGCCCCAAAGAGAAACTTCCAAGTTCTAAGCCCGTGGTCTCTTTGCGGCTAAGCTACCAAAAAGGTTTAGTGGTAACGTTTAATGCCAGCTACACTCACTAATTCACCCTGCTGCCAGCTAACATCAAATTCTTAATTCTTTGTAATTTTTTAAGGTCCATACTTGTCTGTTTAACATACTGTTTAGTATTGTTTTAATACGTACCATATACTACCTCCCATCATATTGGTGAGCAGGAAGAATCTAACTGCAGTCAGCTAATAACACAATCGGGACCAACCTGTTTCCTACAACCACGTTTCTCAAGTGTAATCCTGGAGCCCCCACCACCTGGACCCTCTTCAGGACTGGAGACAGGGGCTATTCAGCTGTACGGCCTTCCTCTCCTCCACTCTTTCCTCTAAGCTCCTTCCCACCCAATTCATCCTATATATATTCCATTTCCAGAACACACTCCCCTGCTCAAAATCTGATTTTAATGATTTTCTATTTTGTAAAGTTAAAAAAAAAAAATCACTATCTGCTTCTAAAGACTGTCCAAAGACCTTAATGATCACTTGCATTTGGGCAGCCCAATATTTAAATTTCTATTACCTTGTTTGACCCTAACAGTGAACCCAGGAGACAGCATCCTCTTCCTCATTCAGCCTGACACTGCTCACTCCTCCATCCCCATGTTGCTTCCCGCCTTGATCTGTCCAAGGAGCTTGGCTTTGCCGTTAGCAAACTGAATTCTGCTCATGTCCATCTCTGCCTTTTCCAGTGGCTCCCTCAGCTCCTCCTTGGTCCCTATGGAAATTCTCCTTCATGTCAAACCATTCATCTCCCAAGTCCCTTCCTAAAACCAATCCAGGTCTCTGGATCCAGGGAAGTTAGCTCCCTGCCCTCACATAGGATATCATCAGAATCCAGATTTTTCCCAAGTGTAAAGCTATATCCACCCTGGAGTAGGGTCAGTTAAGACAATTTAAGGGGAAGTCTTCTGGCCCCAGTCAAAACACCCATTTCCTTAAGCTCTTTAGAGAATTAGAGTCTTTTTCACTAACTTTTATGTTCTCAAAATCTAATACAGGACCCAGCACCCAAACTGGTGCACAAGGACCACTGATATCCCGAGGGGATGAATTACCATCTGCCTTTGTGTAAGCCCAGTCTAATCAGACTACTCCCCCAACACTCTGGGCTACTGCGGAGATTACTGACAGCTTCTCCGCTGCTCTGCAACGCTCCTGGGGCCAGCTCTATAGCAGTGGTTCTCGACTGAGACCACGTGTGCCTCCCAAGGGACATTTGGGCAACGTCTGGAGGTAGTTTTTGCCATAACAATTAGGGGCATTGCAACTGCCATCTAGTGGATAAAAGCCCAGGATGCTGCCAAGTGTCCTGTAATTCACAGAATGACCCACAACAAAGCAGCATCTGGCCCAAAATGTCAATAGTGTAGTGCCAAGGCACAGAAACCCTGGGCGGAACAAAGCAAGGAACGAGAAAGTGCCCAAAGACCTAGACTCCTAGAAGCGACGATGAAAATATCACAATCCTTCTTGCCAGATTCAGATCCATCACAAATGCTTTTGACATTACGTTTAATTATTTAACTCTAAAATTAAGCAGCACAGCCTTGTGCCCTGTAGCAGTCCCAGAAGCATGTGGCCGGCATGGCAGACACTCTGGAATGACCACATCACACACTGCTGGGCTGGCTGC